AATGCGCATAATACTGGGTTTCAGCAAAATTTTGCCTCATACTTGTGAAGCATGGTCATTCGATGATAATGAATGAGATTGCGAATGCTCAAACACATACAGCTTAAGACGAAGGTAACCAAAAAGGCAAAATTTTTGAGAGTAAAAAATGAGAGAATTTTGAAAATCTCAAAATTCGAATTGGTCGAAGTCACACCCCTTTCTTGAGATTCCGCGCAACGTGCGCACAAAGATTTTTCGAAAACATCCCAAGAAAATTTAATTTCCCTCCCCCCGTAAGCCCACAAAACGTAAATATCGGACTAACACTGAAATTGCTAAATGTTGCCTCTTTTCGCATAAAACTCCATCAAACGCTCTTTTTTATTAATGAACTCTTGGTAAATTAGCTGAAGTTCTAGTACGCTGATACAAGCTGCAATGTCAGATATACACAATACTTATAGTGAATTTTTCCGGAAAACTGGCCTAACAACAAAGTCTTTTCGAGGCCATTGGTTAATGTTTTGGAGCATTATAGCGCTGCTAATGACATAAAGTGTAGTGCTCGCCTATTAAGCACTCAGCATAATTCCTGCGCAACTGGCGATGCCACCTACATCATGGAGAAGGTTATTGTCTTCTAGACAGCTAATGAATCAACCGAAATGCAAGAAAAGGGTGAAACTAGCCTATTGATGCTTGGGGGGGGGGGGGAGGAATGATTTTTCTAATAAATATGCTTTGAAAAAAAATTGGCTTGCTGCAAAAAGTGAGGGCACGACTTTCATTTCCTTCACACACATCATATCATTAGACCCATAGGTGCCATAGGGGGAGCCGGGCCCTCTCCAGGTGAAGGGAGTCTCTGCTACTCCCGTCTTTGTAACGTGAAGGGGTTAAGTGAGCTCTGAAAGCAAAATGCCCTAACAAGTTCAACTGATTTTGTGCCCTCACTTTCTGCTCAAATGAATGCTACGGGAAAGCCGACGGTCAACGTTTGTTAACGAAGACTTGCTCTTTAAGATAGATAGATAAGCAGCAGTGATTAGATCTTGGTTTGGCAGAAATCTGCTTTTGAAAATAGACATGAATCAGATAAAATGCCATGTATCTTTGAGTAGAGGGGAGCTAGAGAAAAAAAAGACGGTCTACGTCGAATCCCTGTTTCATGGGTTTTCTAATGGCTTATAGGTGAAGAAACTTGTGGCTCTCCAAAAATGAGGTGGAGATATTTAGTACTAACTTGCCCTACCCAGCTCTTGCTTTCTATTGGTCGCCGGAGCAAGACTTTTTCAGATTGAGAAAGTTATGTGCACTAACACACCAACAATATTATTCGATAGTTAAGAACACGAAGAATGGAGGTAGCCCGTCTCTTTTTTTCCTAGCTTTTCTGTGAAGCGAGATATGAGCAGTTTTATTTAGCTACGACATCAGCCAATTTTGGAAAATTATCTTTTCAAACCAAGAAGAGTTTTTTTTGAAGCTTTAAACAGGGCGTCCCAAAAGTAAGTTCAGACTTTTCAATCGTCAATTTCTCTCTTTACAATGGATCTTTTTTGGCCAATCAAGTACCATTCTGTAAAGGAGGCTTCAACTTAGATTCACAGTATCGACCGAATCACCAATCGCTCTTCGTTACTGTAGAATTACGGTAAAAACTTCCAGCATGTGGAACCATTGTGAAATTTGCCACCTGACAAAATTCTTTACAAAAAATCTGAAGAATCGTGTACTAATTGTAAGGTTTTCGCGCACGCTGATTCCACTACATAACTTTTTACGCGTATTTTCAGCTTTTTGACGGTGTAATCACATTTCTGACAAATACTGGGAATTCGGTTATTACGGTTCACCTGGGATAACTTTGAAAAGATGCATCACAGAAATTTTAGAAACTTTGTATTCGAAATCAGCTGCTTCCATTACCATAGTGTAAGATTGGGCTTGTTTGGTTTTGTTGCGAGGCAGAATATGGCTTCCAATGGCCTAAAATCCTTGCAGAAGTTCCTATAGTAATTCTACAGTAAAGAAGAGAGATCGGTAATTCACTCGATACAGCAAATCTAAGTTGAAACCTCCTCTACAGAATGGTACTTGTGTGGCGGAAAAAGACACACAGGGAAGAGAGATATTAACGATTGAAAAGTGTGTACTTACTTTTGGGACACCCTGTATATGACTAGCTTGCTTACATGGCTCCGCTTGCCTGTTAAAACACTCTAAAGGTCCCATCCCTATCCCTGTACAGCCTTTCCCTGTGCCCACTTCTACACTTCATTTCCCGTTCCCTATGTTGTTTTTGAAATCAGCATGCCCACTTACTCCCCTGTGCCAACTTCCACTCCTGTAGCTCAAACTTTGCAAACAGTCGATAAAATCGATAAAAGTAATCGATAATTCTGAAAACTAATAATGTATTCGGAATCGCCATGCTCACTTACCCCCCCCCCCCCTGTGCCAACTCCCAGCTCCGTAGCTCGAACTCTACAAAAAATCGATAGAATCGATATTGATCGACGACGAAAGTAGCCTATGACACGCTCCCCGCCTCGAAGTATATGTGTGCCAAGTTTGGTCGAAATCGGTAAAGAAATAAAAATTTCTATTCCGCACATACGTACAGACATACATACACACATACAAGCACACATTCAGCTTTATATATTAGATTCGAAAGCTTGAGAAACGAATAATCTAACTGCTCTTATTTGTTTTTATTCTCTCTAGTAAAACAGAAATGATACGACTTCTGTCAGTAAACATGCACCCATCATCAGTGGCTAGTCCAGATTTTCTACTGTTGCTTAGCTCTTTCTTGCGACGTATTCATTGATACAATATTATTTATTCAAAGAATCAGACATCTTTTCAAATTTAGATTATGTTTCGTTATCAACCCCACTTTAAGTGCGCAGAAGGTCTCAAGCATGCGTTTTTTCAACAAAAGTTTTGCTTCGATACTCTCTTGTAGTCTTGATGTTTGAGGAGAAGAGAAATTTCTCCACCTATCGCATTTATGATTAGACACGACGCGGCGCAAGACCTTGCAGAGCGGAGCGCGATTTTACCATTTTAAGCTGTTTTACGCATACTTTCAATGTTATGTGAGACCAACGCCGCGGGCAAAGTCAAAAGAAAGAGCGAGCTTTCTCGTAGTTGTAGTGGTGGGATCATGGCTATGATTGAGATTGCATATCTTCGTCAACGTTTTGTTATAATTAACAAACTTCTCAGGACAGACCACTGAAGTGGTTACTTCAGCATTCCTACATTAAGGACACATTGGAAGTGCTGAAATGAACATTCGATTGATCTCATCTAATTCAATGTGTGATAGCCACTACTGCTTCGAAACAAAGCACACCCTTTCACCTAATTCTGTCCGAGGCGATGATTCACGATCTTGAAATTGAAATTGAAATTGATCTTGTTAAATACAAGGGGACAGAAATCCAGGAAATGTGCCAAAGCTAATATTTTCCTTACCTTTTAGTACTCATCAAAAGAGAAAATAGGATTCGATCATAGAGAAGACCTAAAAGAAAAGGAAAGCCAATGGCTGCTTAGAATGTCAAAATTGGGAAGAAAAACAATGCAAAACGCTTAAATCAACAAAAGAGGTTAAAGGACAATGTTGCTACGAGCTACCAAGTCCCCCGCGCGCTGCACGTACTGTCGAGCTGCAAGACTTCAAAAAAAAAGGCACGCCTGCGTTGGTGTAATTGCACTAGTCGGGGCAGTCGTCGACGAATATCTTTTGAGTACGCGTTGTTCTCGAAGATCTCGCCACGAGTTGCTACTCAGCGTTGTAAACGTTAAAGGCCGTCTGCCTGCCAATTTTCTTTTCAGTATTTCAGTTTTTGGAGAATCCGCTATGCTGGACCCCTGAGTTTTGAGCGCATTATTAGGCTGGAAACTTATTTTTGCAACTGGTTTCATAACTTCATTCTCTTTGCATATGGCGCACTTTGGCATCATGTAGAAGGCTATGTGAGCTACAAGTGAGCTCAAATTGTTTAAATTTTGAGCACGAAATGGAAAAGTTTCAGGCGTTTATCGAAAACCAGTGAAATTTGAGAATTTTTGGGGTTTCAAGCTAAAATGAAGCGTTTCGCAGCCTAGACCATGCGCAGTAATCCGGATTCATCTATAAATTATTGCTGGAGGTTGACTCCTTTGGTCCAGTAAGAAAGAAACAAAATTAAGGGGCATGTCGAGATTTGGCGTCCTCATAAAATCGAACGACTCGATATACACAAGAGCTGCTGGGGAAGACCGTTAATGACTAAAGAGTCCAAAGCTCAAATTCCGCCAAGACTTTACATAGTAAGGTTATTTGAACTGCCAAACGCGAATATCACATTCATTTGTTGAATCAACGCCTTTTTCCTAGTTTAGGGTGAGACCCCATATCATACACCTACAGTAATCCTACAAAAAAGCCCTTATCACGCAATTTCACTATTGTTTTCGTGATCAGCATGTCGGATAACACCCCTATGCCAAATTTCAGCCAAATCTGTCAAACTTTGAATTTTTCCCCTTCATACCGTGCACCTACCGTAACCCCCACTGCGACGTCAGAATTTGGTAGGACAGCAGCTCCGCTTGCAGCTTTCGTAATAACCAACGCAGTGGCAAAATTTGAGTGCGCCATGTTGAGTGAGAGGGAAGTTATGAGATCAGTTGCAAAACTTAGTTTTCAACCTAATAAAATGGCTAAAATTACCTTTCCTTCATAGCTTTCCATGTCGAATTTTCTTTTTTTAAAACGAAACCCTTGAATCGTCTTCTACACTTTGAACTTTCAATTTTTGACGTATTGTGTTCTAGTTATCCAATGTCGGTAATCAAGTTCTACTTGTTCCAAAATTATGCAAACGCTTCAGCGCTTACAAAGAAGAATCTGTATACAGTTTTCACATCAAAAAAACTATCTTTATCGCTTATACTAAAAAGTTAATAATGTAATTAGGACGGTTTTCTATAAAACCAAAATTGACAATGCTTCTTGTCTACCACGGAGTCTGTGCTGCCTGCTGGGGAGTCGAAGCGTTTCCAAAGTAGTCGTCATTTTGAGGTTGGAACGCTCCCACATCACCTCCCGCCTTCTCCGGATCTACCGCTAAGCGGCACGTCTGTAGTTGAGCTTCCAGATAATCAGCGACAGCCTTTTTAACCTGAATAAATATAATTGAAACGCTTTATACTGAGTTAACTGTGAAGTAAACAAACCGGATCAGGACGAGGAGAGACAGCAGATTTCTGTCATTAAAGCGAATTTGCACATCAAAAGAAGTTATATAATACCTTTTACCTTTGCCATTAGTTGCGGCTCATCGTGTTCAGAATCTTTGTGCCTCTTCGAACTTGCGTGACTTTTTCTCTTCCTTCTTCTCCGTTTTTCCTCTTCCTTTTCCATTTGTTCTTTATACATCTCCTTTCGTTTCCTGTTGTTTTTCTCGACAAAGTAACCAATGATGCATACAGTTGCTATCACCATCACGACCAAAATGCCCGATGCGATAATGATGGTGTTTATATAGTTCTTTTCAGTAAACCAAGACCTAAAAAGTGTATTATAAGAAACGTATATGAGTTTTGCCAGCAAGAAGGAAGATCGTACATAAAGTTTTGTGATTGTACTTGAGATTTCCCCTCTCCTCCGCGGAAATCTTGGTCGCTCGAGCTCTTCAATGGAGGTTCAGGTACTGCAAAAGTTCAGTCATGTTGTTGTATTCTACTCTCGAACAGTGGCGTACCCAGAATTTCGGCTCGGGGGGAGCGGCAGAAAATTTTTTCAAATGAAGGTGCGCGGCGTCAGCCACGCAACTCTGAAAATTTTTTAGGGGCTTCCCAAAATTTTTGCGGACCCCCCGAAAAAAATTATTTTATAAGGCTAATTGGAATTTTTAATTTTAAAAACTATTTCAATTGTTTACAAAAGTAAACAAGTCACTTGCACATTTTTATAACCCATGTAAGTAACTTTAAAAAATTTCGCGACCCGTTCTCTGGGGCGCGTGCCCCCCCCCTCCGTCCCCTCCCCTCGGTACGCCACTGCTCTCTAGATAATAGGATCAAGTGCGCGGTTTATTGATGACCCATGCTTGCAACATTTAACCAATGCGTCGATAGCTAGCTTGGTCATAAGAACGCACCACTTTTATGAAAGTCTGCAAATTTTAGGCAAGTAACAACGCTCTGTCTTGTGATGGTCCGCGAAGACATCAAGCGTATTGCGCTCATATCATCCGTTTGGAAAACTAGAAAATGCTTTTGTTAAGTTTCTTAGTGCAGTGGCTGCAGCAACGGCAGTCAATCAATCAATATTTATTGGCCGTTCCACTTCAATTGTAGTTGGTGCAGCGGGGCATTATAAAACAACCAGGCCCGTTTGCACACTTGTGCACGTACTTTTTGATTCAAAGGGATTGGCGGCTGTAGGGCAGGGCTTTGAGGCCTAAGGGTTGGGTCGGTGTACGCCCATATCTTTATGTCCATGCGTACGCAGCGTACGTCGCGTACGTGGTCGCGCCGCGTAATCTGGCACAACCCTAATCAAGGCTAGGGAATGCACAAAGAACACGCTTGTAAGAGAGACGCAAACTGCGTCGCTAGTGCTAGCGGTCGCCTCCCTGCCGCCAGTCTTGTTGAATCAAAGAGTACATGTCCGCTGGGGAGGGAAAAGGATCTGACAAGGAAAGGATCCCAGATTGCAAATTGGAATGAACTGCAGATGTTTAGATTCGTCTTGACGAGCTGATCCCAAACTTACTTTCCATATCTGCTGCAGATTTCTCTGCAATAAGTTGTCAGCGGTTGAAGGTATGATGTGATCGGGGTCGTAATGTATAATGTGCATTAAAAACAGCTTGAATGTGCATAATTGGGAAGATGTTGAATGTGATGAGTACAAGGAATGCACACATTAATTGGAAACGCAAATAGGTGCTTTCGAACAACATTCTTGAAGCCGTGCCACTGCATTTTTGCCATATTTGAGCTTTCAAACACTCATAAGTTCTTCCAGAGAATCCCGCAGCAGCTATAAAGGTCGCATTTGGATTCTGCACAATAAGACCCAAAACTGTACGATTTCAGAGGCCTGAATGAGAGAGAATCGATGAACAGCTGATTGCGGCGAGGTAACCAAGAAAGATAGTCTCTTTCTTTTTCGGTACAGTTGGCCTAGTTTTTCCTTGCAAATCTGCATTGAACAAGGTCTTATTTATTTCATTCTATTTATGTTCCAAAAATTTCAGTTTTTCGTGATGTTCTCGTCAAAATATGTTAGTCATGTTTTATATGTCCATTTGCTAGGCCAAATCGTTGATAGCGCGCACCATCGATTTTTTTCGTAGCGGCCGCATGCCCGGCAACGCCGCAAAAATTTGCTAGTAGCCAGCACTGAACCATGGTCTTGCCTGTTGAATCCCAATCACTTAGTTGTTCGACCAAACCTGCTCAAAAGGTTTCGTTTTTTGAAACGCCCATATTTCATGTTTGAAAAGCGATCCGTACCCAGATCTTAATAAACACTGCGCTGGGGCGCTCTACGTTCAACGTAGGCCCGCCCACAGCCGAGTTGCGCTGAATAGGGATTTACTACGAACCAATGTTTATCCAAGCGGCAAATTGAAAAAGCTTACTACGTGACGAGTTCACGTCCATATCATGAAAACTTTGCAACCGTGAATGACCGTAAAAGGATATTTGTTGACTGTGTATGCCATTCGCTGATAAGACTGTTAATTTTCGTTTTAGTTCGACGAAACATAGATCCAAAACCTTAACATCCGGAAGGGGGGGGGGGGGAGGTAGAGGACTATACATCGCTCAAAAGGGACGGTTCCCGCCCTGATTTGCAGCAAATACGCATCTTTGAATATGCACGGAGATACGTTCCTGCAAGACCCGCGCGGAACACTCCTACATTCGGAGACAGATCTCCACCCACATCGGGGAAAGGATACTTGGTGACCGTGGCCCTTCGATATGTGACATATTGACTTTCGCCTTTAGACGCTGATCTTAATACATATTCATTATCTGCGGAACTATCATTCAGAAAAGTTCTTCCTCTGACGTGTTTGCACAAGAGTGTGAGCAATGTTGGCATGTTCTAAAAATGTCGAATGGTCTAGCGGATAGCGATTGATATTGAATATTCGTTTGATCCGTCGGTGCAATATTTTTGCGTTTGCTTTTACAAGCGCTATTTCTTCTCAGAAAAGCTTTCGCAGTTAACAACATAGCTTTGAGGTAGCGTTCCAATGCAAGCATTTCAATGCATAACATATATCATAAGGCACGGTCACCACTTATCCTTTCCTTATTAGCTCGGTGCATCGCATTTCCTGATATATGTATAACTGTATGAGAATGGTAGATAAATGGTAGCTAGTCATCATTCTCAAACTGCCGATTTTTGATGTAAGTTGCTTCCAACCTTTAGCGAAAATCTGAGAAGATTTGAAGAACTGCCCTCCCAAACCTACCGTACTCAGACAGTCACTCTAAATTTTATAAATCAGAAAATGCGCCGCATCTTCTGATATATAAAATCAATCATGAGTTGGATGATTTTCTTGAATTGAAATCGTCCATACCGGAGCGAGATATGACGATGCGACGCCAGTTTCACCTGACTCCGGGGATCAATTCTCTTTTTTTGTACAAATTGTGACAAGTGCCGTGTTTACCACCCAAATATGAAAGGGTTCCATCTGGCCGAGCCATGGCCTCCAAGTCTTTGATCAAAAGAGTTTAGACTAGATTACCAGGAGAAGCGCTCTCTGGAATGCTTTACCATTGAATGAGATGTTTAGAATCGAGAGCAAAACTATTTTCAAGGATTCAGTTTTTGAAAGCACTATTCAACGTATGAGAGCTTTTCTAATAAGCGTCCACTTACCCATCCGGGTACTCGCGACCCTCAGCTTCTGGCTCCGTATTCACCAAGACTTCGCGAGTCGCGCACCTCATCAAATATAAACTCAAAGACTCGTGCACTAGACTCTACAGCGAAGAATGTCAGAAGTAAAACACAAACAACAACATCGTCTACGGTCATTCTCAACTGACCTCCTTAACTTGCATCAACTAACAATCAATACTTATCTAATATTTGGCTTAACCATTTTCTTAACTTCGCTTAAGGATAGATAAAGTCATGCTCAAGGCCCATCGATTGTCTCTATCGATTTATTGATTTTTTGCAGTTTTTGCTCACAAAGGAAGGGCTCTTGGTCGAAATGACGTTTCCATATGAAATGTTCGCCATTTTATAGAGCGTAGAACGCTGATCTAACTCTGCTTTCGTTATTTGCAAAGCGCTTCGGGAGGGGATCTAGGAGTTTTCTGAGGTAAGAATTAGTGATGGCTAAGATAGAATAAGTGATGAGGTCTTTCCAACGTTGAAAGGAGCAATGACTAACATGAGTTCATTAAATTGAAAGTCTTTATTCCATTAAACGTCCTGGTAGTAATCGTCGCCCCATTTGAGCTCACGGACTAAGGTTCTGATTGATTTTATTGTAGCGGCGTTCCAAATTTTTGCATCAACAAATTTCCATAACTCCCCTCCCAGAAGCACTTTGCAGAAATCGAAAGTACAGTCTGCTCCAATCGGGATCAGGCCGAACCGTCGGCGTAAATTTGCGCGCTCCAGCGCCAGCAGTCGGCGCTGCATATGCGCGCTGTCGGAGAGAGCAAAAGGATTGAAGAGAGAGCAGAGAAGCAGGCCGTGAGCGTGACCGCGAAACCCTAGCGACGCGGACTCCCGCCATGCCAATTTTGGCCTGGTTGAGATTGGGGCAGACTGTAGATAGAATTTAGCTTTCCATGCTCTGGGAACACCACTTTGACCAAATATCCATCCCTTGTTAGAAAATCTTTTATGTTCACCTGAAAAGGATAATAGGAATCATAAAATCTGAGCCAGATTTGGCAGATATAATGTATGGGGTGGGAAGTGTAATAAGTTATTTTGTTTGGGACAGACTTATCTAACTTATTGTCCTTATCGATTTACTGATTTTTCCAGTTTCTGCTTAATTTTTAATCTTCACCCAAATAGGACAGAGGGAGTCATGGAATCTAAACCAGATTTGGCAAACATAATAAACCAGTGCGTCACGTCCGCTTCGCGGAGGTTCGCACTGGCTCCCTATGCCTTCCTTAGCCTTTGGCCACACTTTGCCCATGTTGCCGATGTTTCCAGTGTTACTCGTGTTACCGATGTTGCCGATGTTACCAGTGTTTCCTGTGTTGCGGATGTTTTCACTGTTACCCGTGTTACTCATGTTTCTAGTGTTACCGCCTTTATTGCTGTTGATTCTTGAAATAATCGCCAGTACAGTTTCATTTTCTCGAACGACACCTCACCAACGTCCAAAACGTTGGCCAGTGCGTTAGAGCTCATTATGCTACAAAGTAAACAATTCATTGGATTTGTTGTCATAAAAACTTTTTTAAATCGAAAATTCTAGCATGGCATTATTATTCAGTGACGTGTTATCGCCTCAGGTCCTGTACACTCACCAGTCAGTGAGACTTTTTTGAGAATAAAACTGTGCTGGCGATCATTTTAAGAATCAGCAGCAATAAAGGCGGTAACACTAGAAACACGAGTAACACTGGAAACATCGGCAACACGGACAAAGTATGGCCAAAGCCTCTTGTTCGCATGAGAATGGCTTTGAAACTCACCCCCCGATGATGAGCATCACAAATAAATCGTAAACAACTGTTCATTCATGAAGCATCTCCATGTAGGATCGGTAATTTTGAGAAAGAAAACTTTTTTGCAAAAAACACATGCGAAAACTTATTTTAGCCTAAAAGTCGTCGTAAGGATAATAGTCATTTTGGCTGCATTTCCGTGCAAAATTCTTTTCATCTTTTTTAGGTAGAATCTTGCCAAATCGACTATCACGCGAACACTACTCATTGTTATCGCAGAAAAGCAAACATTTGAGCACTATTCAGGC